CCTATACGCCTGCTCCTCATCTGCGCCTTTCTCGCTCGTCGACAATTTGTTAGAAGGAACTGGACCAATCTTAAAAAAAGAAGCAGCGGAAAAGTTGAAGCAAATTGTGGAAGTTCAGAAAGATGGGATACCTACATAGGATGGAAAGGGGTGGTACCAGGGGTGGCACTTGGGGAAAAGTGGTCGTCTTCTCAACAACTTTCTCCAACGGCAGGACTAGCCTGTGCCACGAGCCTCTTTGGAACTGAAAATTTAGAAAAAAATGAAGAGGCAGCAAACTTCATCGCAGAAGGACTATGGACCTCAGAGGTCTCGAAAATTCTCGTAATTTTCCTTCGGATACTTCGGTGCTTAGCAGATCTTACCAGTCATATGGAGTACAATGCATAGAAAGCTCACATCAAATAGCTATTTCGCTGCGTAAACGGCTCGAGTTAGGACTGGATCGGATGGGCAGGCTAAATCTATTCGATTTAGCCATTCTATATGGAAAAATTTTCGCTTAGAAAGGTGCTGAGCACTGAAATAGCTGATAAAAAAACTGTGGGGAATTTTCGTGATTTTTTTCGAGACTTCGAAGTATTTTTCACGTTTTCTGCTATAAGCAAGTCCTCTGGGATGTTTCAGCCGTAGTGATTTCTGTCTTTTTGTATTTCGCACAAAACTGTCGAGCCATTTTCCCCTATTAAGAAGTGAAACCATTTCACTTTTCAGCTGTCTACCTAACGTGTTGTTCTTAAATTATGCTTGCCATTGTCAATTTTTCGTTGAATCAGCGAGCCTCCCAGAGAGACGTGGAGCGTGTCGCAACATCCTCAAAGTACACTTCGTTCGGCTTTCAAAGTTTAGGTTTTTGTTGGAGACTGTTTTTCAGAAGTGCCTCGTAATGCTTATCATTTCGCTTCCTCAGGAGAATTGTGGCTTCACATTTTACGCAATTGTATGTCTTCACATGTTGCTAGGTTACGAAAAATTTCTAATGGGTTAGTGAGGCAGAATCAAGGCACCTTTTTGTTGAGGACCTTGTGAGCCCGAGAAAGGATGACCGTATAGAGGAAGGGGTCTTCTTTTGCTGGCAGTGTCCCACAGTTTTTCCATGTCCGATAGCTGAGTCCGTGTTCAATCAGACTCGATAGATATTAGGCTTTCAAAATCACGTCCACTGTATTAATGTGCCCCACAGCAAGGCGGTGATAATAATAAGTTTATAATAATGAGAAAAATAATAATAAGTTTGAAAGGTAATAGATCTGGATTTATGGAATCATCTGCTATATTAACATCCTACATTTGTCAACTCCAACAGTGCCAACGATGAAAGATTTCTAATTGCTTATTTACTCCTGGAAAAATATCCACTATTTTTTGGCGCTCCTCTCGATATCGCGAACAACCGCAGTTTCTACAGGATTTAGTCTTAGAATTCTTTCCTTTTTAGCTCCTGAAAGCTTATTGATTAAACTTTGTGGACTGTTCCCGTAATGCTTGTGAATTGGATTAGTAGCAGCGTTTCCACTTCCTTTTCATATTCCTAACTTCATTACTTGTTAGTCATGTAATCAGTAATTAACGTGTATTTGGAAGCTCTGGGATAATGCTGCATTCATTGTCTGATGCATTAAGTTTCCTTATGTATACTCGGAATCCCTGAGATCGGGTAGGCGTGGCCGCATATTTCAACTTAATCTGAAGGTGTCTATGCTTCTGGTGAGATATTTTCATCTTAACAAAATCGTTGTCATGTCCCTGTCCAACACAGAACAAGATGGCAGTTGTCCTACACTGAAATATTGCACGAGTAACCAGTTTCGTGCCATGTTCAAATGCCACGCCTACTCTGGCTCGGGATAAGGAGTATACCTCCGGTTCTCGTATACGTGCATGAGAATTTTCCCACATTAGCGCCATTTCCTATTTTCTGTAGGTCCAGTTTCACAAACAGTCGAACAAAACGGTGTAGTTCAGATTGACGAGGGCATTTTGCTGTCTCCCATCGATCACTGCTGACGAATCCTGCGGAAACCTGCAAATTTGTGTAAAACTATGCTATAGCATGAGTTCGCTTGCTGTTGACAAGAGTCTGCAGGTCTCACCAGGATTTGAAGTGTAATTTGACAGGAACTAGCCAAAGAAACTCGCCAAACTGCAAATTGTAGTTCGCCCTGACTGCCAGTCGAACAGCGCATAAATTACTGGGCAATCGGGAAATACGAGTATGTGGCAAGAGAATCGTAATTCGCCGCGCCAGTGGGCGTCGCGTGCGACGTCGCGCCTGCTAATGACGACGATTTAGGTGGTATTGGTCGAGAATAGACAATGTATGACCAAAAATAGACATAAGTGTCTACCATGTCCTTGTCTACATGAAATCCGATGCTCCAATCGAAAGGGTAGGCAAATTAAGGAAACGTCGCGCCTGTTGCCGCGCGCGACGAAGCGGCAAGTTACGATTCTCTCGTCCGTCCCACGAAAATACTGCCATTCATAGTCAGTGCTCTCATTACCCGCTTGCAATAGTTTTGTTTCAATTTCTTAAGCAAACATGCTTATAAAATTTGAAAATATACCCGGAAACGGGTCACATCGAGAATTCAAACTTCCCGAAATTCATATAGCTTGTATATATGAAAAATTTATGGCACAAAGAATTCCGACTCGTGCGCTATCCAGTAGTAGTGAAATTCGTTAAAAGTTTATGAACAACTAAGGAATTTACAGGAACACACCCGAGGGAACATCTCCGCCAGCCACCTTTTCAAGGTCATAGAAGTATTCTGCTTTTCATTCTACAGAACCAAGTGAAGAAGTAACCCAAGTAGCCCAGTAACCCAGAAGCACCCGATTCCTGACGTAGAAAGAGTCCGGAGGATGGGCTCTGAGGTGGAGTTGTCGAGGCCTTTCATCAACTGAACAGCTGAAATTCCTCAAGGTGAAGGGAAATTTCACTGAAATAGGGGAGTTTATGATTTGGCAGTGATATTTTTTAAAAACATGGGCCATTTTGATGCGCATTAGTTAAGTACAAATCGATAGGTAGTGCTCTTTGCCGCTATTGTATAAGGGTATCTAACCAATGAAATCGATGAGGATGTCTTACTTCCCAGTTCACTGTAACATTAAGAATGAAATATTCCAAAGAGAAGTATAGCATGGGAGTCGCACAGGTCTCCCAGTTGGTCAGGTCATCGTCAGGCGGTATGTCTCAGAGAGTGGACGGTAAGCATGTCTAGTGAAGCTACTCTGATCCCTTGGTATATATAGTTTCACTCAAGTAAATTCCTGTATCACTAAATTTCAAAGGACTTCATTGGACCAACAAATTTCTAAATGTGTAGGTCGGAAAAGTTGAAACTGCCCTGAAAAAGACTCTTGAGAGGCTCTGCGGCTCCTGCCACTCAAGAATGTCATAAAAGCAATTCACAAGTCCTTCATAATGATCATTCAGATTGAAAGTAGGCATTGTCATCACCCCAATAATCGCGACGAGCGGCAAAAACCCTATGTGGGTAGGTGACCTGACCGGGGAACTTGCTACGCTCCTATGTAGCATTACATCAACGTAACGGTGACACCGACAAATTAGCTAGTATTATCCTGTTAGCTCACTCCACTACCTCTAACACTCCATCGTTATAAGGCGTGCGTGACGCCATTCGCAGTTTGTGTTCCTTCGCCTCTCTCACCGCAACGTGGATGTAATGTCCCACACACTTATCCACGAGATCGGTTCTCTGATATGATCAATGATCTGATTTCAGCGCACGGAAGAGTACACTTCTTGACATCTGTTCTTTGAACCTTTCTTCTCTTACATTGTCCCCGGCGCTATCGCTCGAAATAGCTAACCCAGTAACAGGGGAGTGTGACGATTCTCTTCAATGACGCATGTGGATCATCATAGGAACCTTCTAAACGCACAAGTGAACCGTATTGATGATCGCGGCAACGGACTAGAGGAGATGGCGTTGACCTTACCCAGCATATCCCAAGTACAAGACGATGACTCGGTGCTCAGAAAATTGAATGGGGGCATTCGGCGACGGGGTGGGGGGCATTTTGCACTATTGCTACTTCCCACCAACGTGTCGACCCTCTAGACAGCCTCTTCTCGAGTTGACAGGTTTTACCATGATGGCTTGACGAGCTTGCTCCAGCTTCACAAGAGTTTCACAGGTTTCACCAGAGTGAGACTTGTAAACCGGAACTAGTGAAGCAACGAAAGTGCAAAATGCCCCCCCCGTCGCCGAACTGCGCCATCGAATGCAATGGGTATATGTATGTGAAAAGTGGAAGCTTACCAAGAACCTTTCATTGCAAGGCTGATAGATGTTCACCTACACCTAATAGCATTGCTGTATATTTTTTCAGGATCAGCGCAACAACTTGGCCACAGTTTCCGCCTATTTTGATGTGTGGTGGTTGGACGAGTTTCTCTTGTGGAACGCCACTGACTACGGTGGAATCTCGAAAATCTTCGTGCCGATGAAATGGATTTGGAAACCTGAATTCTACATGTACCATAGGTATCCCTACTCTTCCAATATCCAGACTTCAGCAGCCAACATATGGGGTGTTACAGTGTGTATGGACGAGTGCCAGAATACGCTACGGATGCTCCGGCGGAGATTCGCTCCGATGGACGTGTTCGCATGTTCGTCTCCATTTCGTCAAAAAGTTTTTGTCCTATCAACTTCAAGCGATTTCCCTTTGACTCACAGACGTGTTCATTCTCGGTTTGTTTTCACGCTTTATTTATCTAATATATTTATGCGAATATAATTAAATCACTAACAACATGAAGGTGAGCAAAACGGTGAAGGTTCGGGTACGAGAGAGGGCGGCGGCGGATTCTAGAGAAAAATGCTGGGAAACATTGAAGCAGCGCGCGTCTGAGGGATAGTCATCACCATCGATGGTGACACTCGTTGAGTAGCACAAAATTGGACTGCATTTGGTATAGTTGACATTATGATCGCAGTAGACCGCCGCTGCATTCAACGAGCAGATTGCTTGGGTCAAATTGACAGTATGACTGTTTTGAGCACCACTGAAAGTCCACATTGCACCCTCTTTATTCCCACAGAAAGGGTCCAAGTGCAGTCGGACCACTCTGTCTGTATAGGCGTGGCCGCGACTGAGTGTGACAAGGGGAACCGGCAGAGGCTCACTGCCATTTCGGGTAAGATTCACAGGAATGGAAATTGGCCTCGATGAGAGGATTTGAGTGTTTCGAAATGTTCGTGGGCGACGTTTCAATGAGAAAATGCTCCTTGGTCGTAAAATGGAACGGCTTGACCTTTGTGTACTGATATTGAGCCGCGTAGACAGCGTCCGCCGAAAGTGGAAGATGAAATGTGCCATTTGAAGACTTCGTGCTGAAACAATCTCAACTTTCAGGGATTTTTATGGATTCGGAATTTCTTCGCTCACCTGAACGTTTTCGTCCTTGGTTTAGTGTCATTCTTTGCAAGATTTAGCGCTGATAGAGTGACAAAGCCATCTTCGGTCTTATCGCTTAGCTCCGTTTCCACCACGAGTTCGGAACCAGACGCGTGTTTTTCCACCTTAAATTTGGGAGAATCACTTAGACTTTTTGGCGTAGTTCGGCTACGGGGGCATTTGCACTTTCGCTGCTCCCCAATGACCTGTACATTACTTTGCAAGAGCTGACAAGTTTTACCCGCTGTGGCTCGACGAACTTGCTCCAGCTTCATAAGAGTTCACAGGAACCACCACAAGAAGACTTGCAAACCCTGGTCAAGCAGCAAAATCGCAAAATGCCCCTTCTCTCCGAAATTTTTTTTCGGATTTTTGGACACCTAACAGAGCCCGATTATCAGCCTCAAAACTATCTTATTGACAGCATTTCAGTCAACTCCCAGCGCTTCAGTATACCCAAAAGTACCGAGCAGAAAGCGTCTAAGTGCAGTTGGACTACTCGCTTACGTTCTTGATCGAGCTAGCGTTGCTAAATGAAAAAGCCAAACCTGGCTCATTGAAGCGCATCATCTTGCTTCACCTAATATCCACCTTTCTAGCGTCAATTAGCCCAAGCCTCGTCCACGCGAAATGTTGAAACTCTGCATTCAGCGCCGCTGTCTGTCACAGAGCAGCCTAATATTAGGTTGCTCAATAACTTCTGGGACACTTTGGAGATTGAGTTGTAGGAATTTATTCAGTCAACTTGCTATCTCAATATTGTAACTACTGATATATGCTACGTTCTTCATATTCCACCGCTGTCGTCCCCCTGGATGGCTGCTGTTCACGGTGTTCCAAATACCTCCACCTCAATCTATGACCCCTCCCTTATGTGGGCAAAGTCCGACATCCTCACCACTCCCCTCACTTCCCATTATGCATCTGACTGACTGAATTATGTGAAAGGTACGAAAAATAGGCCTCTCACGGAACTCGCGTAAGCGACAATGGCCAGGAGAAAAGGGGTCCCAGCACCCTCACGGAAACCGTAATCTTGTTGTATGCTCGGAGAGAAGGTGAAATGGGAGTGGTTCCAGGCACCACTGCCATATGGTTTGGGTTAAAAACGGTGCTGAAATGTGGCGCGAACCGCTGGATCGGTGTACTAACACGGATCGCGCTTCCAAGAGATCCTTTCAAGTGAAGCCCATTTTCTAAACAGTTCGTCGCTGTTATGGAGATTCACACGATGACCAAAAAAGAGCAGATCATTTTGACTTCACCTTCTGGGAAGGCCGAAAAAGGGCGAACATTCTCCTGGCTAACAAAATTTTCCATTTCGGATATTTCTATACTCTTATGTTATTCAAGTCGGAACCTTTATCCGAACATCCAAAAAACTCCAAGAACACCCGAATCCTATGTCTAGAAAAAACAAAAGAGCTTTCTACTGATGAGTTCGCCGTGAGCTCATAGAGATTTCTTTCGCTCTTCTAGAGGCATGCAACGAAAAGGAATCACTCGTTCATGGTCTCCGCATGAAACTTCACAACATAAAAGAAACCGTTTCTGGAATGGGTTCCACTACTTGAAAGACCCTTGATAAGTGGTAGATGCAGATGAAGGTCTTCTTCTTGAATGACAATGTGTACACACATGACGCGATGTTGACTTACAACTAGATGAAGCTGGACGGTTCTCACCCATCTACCGTATGGCCCTGACATTGGCCTATCTGACTAATCGTTCTTTGGCTCCTTAGTCTGCGGATGCCACTGTCATTATGAGATAACCTTTTTAGGAATGGTTTGGCCAATATTTTTTTGATTGCAGTGAGGGGGGGCCAAAGTTTCTACGGAAGCAATCTACAAAATTGCCCTGGCATTGGACAGCATTATCCGAACATGCGATCGAAGGTGTGTCCCAGGCTATTAAGAGCTCAATCACGAAATAAGGGCTTTTAGGAAACTAAAAATATCGGGAAATGTTCAGCGAACCATTGGCCGACTCGTATGGGGGGTCCGGAAGACATATCCGGGAGAAAGTGCAATTTTGTCTCGAGCTCGAAGTCAAAAGTGGCCCACTGTCGGTGAGACATTGAGAGTAGTATCCCTAAAGGTTGGTGGAGGTGCTATGGTGGCGAGTGACAAGCTTTCCATGCGCACGGTACGAGATCAAATCCCGGATCGGTTCCCGCCCAAGGTCAATCAAGCTTTCTAGCCACCGGCAAATTCGTACCAGATTTGTCTGGGAGATAAGGACACTGTGTTGTACATCGGTTAGCCTCGCTAGTCATTGTATAGGCCACAAGGAACTCAGTGAGGCACTACGATCCTGAATGGAAGTAGAATGGTGCCGCATCCCGAGAAGGGGTTAATCAGAGGAAAAACTTTATCCTTTCATCCTTTCTCCCCAAATGTACTTTTTTCTGAAGTCGTTGAACCATAACAACTCACCGCATACTGCTTCATGTGTCGTAGAAAGGTAACCGAAGTGGTCGATTCAATATCACGGCATTCCTGAGGGGCATCCGCTCTGTACTCAATTGATCCTGATCGAGACAACAAAAAGCTATGCCAGCAGACCCTGAAGGAGATACCCATGAGGATTAATTGCTTACAAATGGAAACAGTCAGCTTACTGGTGACATTTCAATCGGCTATGTGAGCAGCTAACTTGATGAATAGTGTCGTTGAGATGCTTGATATCATAGAGAAGATCCATCTAAAATACGAAAAATTAGGAGTAAAATAGATTGGATGCGTGGGTAGTAAAAGAAATGGTAGAGGGATGAATTACAACAGGTTGGGAGTGAAGAAGGTCTGCACTAATTTGTCATTACCTCTCGGCAGTTTCTAGGCTTACACAACCAGTCCTTATTTAGTGATTCTCCAGATACTTTTGCCCGATATCCGCAGAATGCTTTATTGACCTATAGAGGCTTGATTTCCGGGCTCTGTGTTGAAATCTAGCCGCACAATCTCGCATCTCGGGAAAGACGGAATTCGGCCTGTGTGCGCGAATGCGTGCGAGGTGTGGACAAAAACAGTACCTTTTTGGCCTTCAACCACGTCTATGGAAGCAGGGGCACACTCACATTTTTATTTTGAGACGACGACGGTCTTCAATTTTCTTAGTATTTTGAATGGTAAGTCATACTTTCCTGAGTGATAAATGGCAAAAAGAGAAGGGAAAGAAAAAAGAGAAACAGCATAGGTTTTCAGAAGAAAGACGATTTCTGAAGGATTGCAGAAGCGTGTTGCATCCTTCAATAGCCACCTTTTGGATTTCTTATCTGTTCAGTCGCAGCCATGAAGGAAGGAGGGTGTCTTTGAATCATAATCTTGGGCCATAAGTGCTCCGTTTGTGCAAATCCAGTTTATATGAGGTTCTGACTGAATTCTTGGAACGAGCTCAATGGACAGAATTTTAGGGGCTATGAAATCAGAAGGAACGAGAGTAAGTCCAATAGGAAGCTGAATGGTTTTTCAAGGGAGCATAAAGTACTCATGAACGTTTTACACAAAAAATATAGAATTCTTTTCGTAAAGCGCATGCATTGTTGGGGAAGCGTGCGAATGCTGGAAATTTGATGTGAGTTTTGTGCTTTTGAATCATCATGACTTTCTTTTGCGTCTTTGACCATCTTTAAAGTTTGATAAAAGGGGCTCAGGGCAGCAAAAAAATTCCTCTCTTGCCAAACACCACGATCATTGGCGTTTTGTGAATTTTTCGATGGGAAAGCTCCTGAGCCGATCGCCCCAAAGCTAGTTTGCTGAGCATGTCACTGCTGCGACTGAGCTCACTGAAGAGGCAAGCATATTGCTTGAACAAATCCTCTTCTGAGGCACGATTAGGAAATGGTTTGCTTGGTGTCGATTGGCCTCATCTGCGCATGGTCCATACGTTAGGCGTCCACGCCAGATGATCGCAGGGAATCCACCCAAGGCCGGATTAAGAAATATGTAATAAGTAATGTCCTGTACAAGCAGATATGTGTTATAGGGTTATGGAAAGCCCATGAACTAGCTAACAACCACTATGCTGCACCATTTAGTCTGCTGCTACTGACGAATTTATGTCATCCATTTAGAGGTATTTGGCCCGATAATTTGTTAGAAATGCTGATGGTCAGAAATGCTAGCAGGCTGCATATGGGGGGAAAATGCGAAAAACGAAGGAGTATAACGCCTTAAACAACAGGCGAGAAAGCCTGTCGCTCTTAATGATTTCGAAGGAGTTTTTCTGTAAGCATCTTTGCAATAACCGCCTACGATAGAGTACATACGGTACATGACCGCCCCACTGCACGTAAGTACTCTATCGACCATGGTAGCACCGCGGCGCCCATGTCAATCACGTCCAATGTTCATACTTTACCTTCGCCAAAATGAAGCAATACGAGCATCGGGTGCGGGTACGTCTATTTTGCGGCTGGCGCGCGGCCGTGGGCGTCCGGGGTCCGGTATTGCTTGCAGCTTGAGAGGCCTAAGGGTACCCCTCACTTGGAAAAGGCGCCACGTAGCTCCTGCTCAGGGGCCGATTTCCGCCCTGGCAGATGTATCAATCCTACTCATCTCAGGGACTTATCGTGCCAACTGCCTTTAAGTAGCGCAGCTTTCCTATTATTGTAGCAGCTTACCGCGCATTCCTTTGTCGCGGTTTTTTTATTGTTAAGAATCAAAACAAATCAGAGTCTTCAAGCAGTCCCGCTGTTTGGAGGCTGGTGCTCTATGAAAAGGGTAATAGCGCGGGTAGCTGGACTGACTAGCGTTAAGGCCCCGTATCATTAGGGCAAGCTATCGTGGGAAAGCATCATTGTGCGCCCAGTGCACGATGCTCGTCAAGAACTTTCCCACTCACTTTCAGCGCAGTTAGCACTAGTTCC